CTTTCATTTTCACTCCTTTCACACTCTAGTACAGTCCAGTGATAAGAAACAGATAATTGAAATTTAAATGATGCTGACAAAGGCATTTACCTACTGCTCCTGTGAAAACGTAAGGAGACACAAGACACCTCTCAAGTGTGTCCTGGCTCTGCAGCTTCCTCCAAGTTGGACACGCCCAAAATGCCTCATCTAGGAGGCGTCCACGTCAGCTGACTCCTGTCGATATGCAGGAGGGTACGTCTCTTTTGAGCTCACAAAGGTATTCTTTGGGTTGCTACCTGCAGATTGTGGCCATGGAGGGTAAGACTGTAGACTGACAACAGACCAGTAAAACGTCTGCAACACTGCCGAGGCAGGACCAATCCTACTGTCAATTTCTTCAACAAGCCCCTGATATACTTAAACTCTGGCACTTGAGGACGAAATTCATCCCCTACACTGATTTTGCACTCCACTCTTTTCCATCTGAGAACCATGGCCTCAGACCTGCAAGTGCTAATTCCCGACCCAAATACTTCAAATTCAGCTGCAAACTCCTCAAGTGTCAGCTAGACGTCGCCATTTGATGAAGCCAAGAGGGCCACGTCGTCCACAAAAAGCCCTGACGAGCTCTCGAGACCATTGGCTGTGATACCCTCTGCTCCTCGGCTGCACTTAGAAATTATGTTCATAAGTTGCCACTGATGAAGAGCAAGAGTGGCAAAGGGCAACTCTGGTGGAGTCAGTCCCACTGGGAATGACTGAGACTTAATGCTGGCAACATGTTCGTCAGGTCCAGCTTGAGTAGAAGTTTAACAGAAACTTTCTTTAGCTGGAGGATGAGGGGAGGCCTGTACTCACTGAGGCTGTGTGCAGTCCTGAAGGTTACACATTCTTCGGATGGGTTTGGGCCTCTTGCCAGCGTCGCAGTAGCCTCGATGAACCATCTTGGTGTCTCCCTTTTTCCGACATCCATACTTGGTGTACTGAAACCCTGTGCAGAAAACCCCCACCCCCAAAAACCCCATGTTTTAATTAGAAAGACAGTTTACATCCTTTTACTGGGGTTTGACTTTCAAACTTCAAAGTTCCTTTGCAATTACTCAAGTCACATTTTTATATCTAATTTCCTTTAAGTTTAAAATGTGTCTTAAAGCTTTTGTCTACTTTTAAGTTAAATACCAGTGAGCTTAAGCCTGCTGACATAAAATCTTAGAGGTGTATTCAGGCTAATATAAATATAACACAAGCATGTGCAACATCAAAAAGGGAAAGAACTGCAGTTAACAGTTCAAGTGTGAATGTGTGAATGAGACACGAAAGTGCTTTAAGTACTCGAGTATAAAAGTGTTGCATCAGAACCACTCCATTTACCATTATGGGATATTTAGTAAGCTGGAAAAATGTGTAATTTTCTTTTGCAGGATTACAAATTTCATGCTGTTCCCACACTAAAGGTCAGAGTAGAGGTCACATATCAAGTAGATATAATAAGATGCAAAATTTGACAAATATTAATGTTGTATCAGTTTGTTTCTTTGTTTGAAATATTTGCAGCTATGAAGTCGTGAAATTTAAGCTCACAGTGACATCTTTGTTGGCCAATTCTGCAGATTTGAAATGCTGATGCTCTTCGCACAGGGATGTTTAAAAACCAAACATAACATTTGACATATGAATAATACCAACAAACACAGTAGAAAAATGATAA